GCCTGCCTTGCCTTCTTAATGCTGGGATTACAGACTTGTGCCACCATGCCTGGGTTAAAATAACTTTGCCAGGCATCATGGTGCACACCTGTGATCCTAGAGCTAGGATACTGAGGCAGGAGGATCGACAGGAGTTGGAAGCCAAACCTGGGCTACTTAGGGACTTCAAGACCAGCCTCAACTACAAAATGAGATCCTATCTTCAAAAACAAAGAAAGGAAGAACACAGAATAACTTTCTTTTCAGGACTGGGGATGGAACCCAGGGCCTTTGCATAGAGCTATATGCCCAACCCTTTATTTTTTATTTTGAGACAGCATCTCACTGTGTCAGCAATTGTCTAGACTGGACGACTCCTTCCGGAGCTTCCCAAGTGCTTGGCTTACAGGTGTGTGCTACAAGCTCGTTTTTGTTGTTGTTGTTTTTGGCAGAATGGGGATTGAACTCAAGCCCTTGCGCTTGCCAGGCAAGCACTTATTCTACTGAGCCATCTCCCCGGCCCCAAGCTCGGCGTTAAGATTAACTTCGAGTGTGATATTCTACACTTTCTTTAGGCTAAATCTTTGTGGCCCTGCATGCATTTTGCGCTTGCAGCACCTCTAGTTTGGGTCAGCCCCGTTCCAATGGTTCAAGGCCACACATGTCAGTTGTTCTACAGGACAAAATGGGGCTCAGAGAGCTACTTCCACATGGCAGGGGAGGAGCGGGCTCCCCACCTGCAGTGGTTGATTGATCGTGTGAACCTGAGAAGTTTAGAAACAGGACTAAGTGGGCTCAGTGTTTCTACACTGCAGGGTGTAGAGGACCCACCCAAAGGCGACTCTTCGCCTGAATAGAAGGGGAATGAAGAAGGAGAGACGGGCCTCTGCTCTTCGGAGGTGCTCCAGTCTTTGCCTTCAGCTTGGACGTGGTCTCCTGGCTTCTAGTGTATAATTGGCTTCTGCCTCAGACCCTTCAGCCTTCCGGTGTAGACTCACCAGCCTTTCCACGTAGACCCATCGGCCTCCTGATACAGACTTGCATGGACGCTGCAGTGAGCTGCAGACCTTGGGCTGAACCCTCCAGCCTGCAGTGTACAGACGCCCTCCGCGTGCTTCCTCGTCCCGCTCTGTGGTTGATCGGCTTAAGCCATACCTGTAATTTGTTATACATTTGTGTATCTTATGTTCTGTTTCTCTAGAAAGCCCAAGATGCTCGGTTCCCCCTCCCCTCCCAAGCCTTTAACTCCACATGGCCCCATGGTAGCCATCTGTACTGTTTCTGACCCCCAAGACCCCCCAGAACTGACCACACAGCCTCCTCAGTGGGCGGGGTTTGCCCACCCAAGACTCACACTGGAGGTGCATCTGTGGGAGCTGGTGTCTCTCGCCACCTTTCCTTCAGGCGGCAGCCTCTGTGGGCTGAGGACACAGTGGTGATCTCAGAACCCTTCCACAGAGACCAGGCCAGTGTGGGTTCACCAGAGGACCGGAGGTTGGGGTGTGGTTGCACACGGAGAGGACTCCTGAGTGCCAACCCAGGCGGAGAAGGGCCCTGCCCTCTGCTTCACCCTTTGCCTTGTTCACCCTCCACTCCTGCAAGGCAAAGTGGTGGCGCCACCTGCTGCCAGCCAGCCAAGTCCATCACTAATGCTGTTAGCATGATCTCACGCATCCCCAGAGCTGCGACCTCCTCTCCCCTCAGCCAGGGAGGCAGGAAGTGGCTTCCCTGTGGCCTTCAGGAGCAAAGGGAGGACAAGACAGTGGCTGAGGTCTGTGGGTGCCCTGCCGTGGTGGACAGCAGATGGTCGAGGGAGTGCTGGGTCCTTTCGAGTAACCTCTGCCCATCTGTGTCCAGGGTGGCCGGGGAGGCCGCCAAGGGCCCCCTTTCTTGGAAATGACGATTGCAGGACTCACACTGGGAAAGGTAGGCATTCAAAGGAGCTCACAGCCATCCCCCTTCTCAAACCCTGGGCTCAGGCTCCTAGGGCCAGGCTTTTGGGGGCTGCTGCAAGGGCCAGCTCCTCACACTGTGGGGGCCCAGCGCATCTGACCCAGATGAGAGACCTGAGCAGATGGAGTTGAGGCTGTGCACTCGTCATTTGGAGAGGACTGTAATGTTGAAAACATAGGACACATCCAGTAGACTGTCAGGTAAACATAGTTCTTTTTGTGTGTATTTGTGGTGCTCGGAATGGAACCCAGAACCACTGGGCCCCTGAGCTGCTCTCCCGGCCTGGAATCGTTCTCTAGTGTAAGGGTGATCTGGCTGTTAGCCAGGCGCAACAGTGCAGGCCTGTCATCCCAGCAGTTTGTAAACCGGAGCACATCCAACCCTGTTCCAGTACCTGATGTGGTGACAGCGGAGTGAGGCCTAGGATGCGTGACGGGCTGTCTGCGTCACCGTCTACGACAGCTGCGCCTGTCTGGTCTATGCCAAGCTGCTGTGGCATTTCACACTCCAAGACTGCACTAAAGGTCTGGGGCATCCGTGACGGGAGCTATGCCCCCAGAGCCACTTACAGCATTTGGTGTCACAGCAACTCAGCAACAAAAGAATTGGTCCTGGTCACCTTCTGCAGCATGGCAGAGGCCAGGACGGAAGCAGCTCATGGTGTGGCTGCAGGAGGCAGAGGACCATCAAGGGAAGGGGAGTGCGTCGACCCTTCAAGGCCATGCTCCCGGGGCCACCTCATTTTGGCTTTTTGAGACAGCGTCTGTCACACTTGCTAGCCCAGGCTGCCCTGGACCTGGAGGTGATCTTCCTGCCTCAGCCTCCTGAGTGCTGAGATTACAGGCATGTGCCATCCTGACCCCAAGCAGTCCCCC